ACTCATGACCTCCACATTGGGGAATGTAGCCCCTATACATGGGACACCAGCTCAACCAGGTGAGCTATAGCAGCACTCAGTCCCAGATACTTATATCCTTAAGGAGCCATTAACACCTGAGGTTCAATTGGGGGTTTGTTGCTCCTCCCCCTCGTTATGTGGGTCGTTAGTGCTCCCTCTAACACAATGGGGTTCGTTAGGGTCTTTTGTGGCGAGGCGTGAATGTGGTTTCATCTTCTTGGGGAGAGATCTTAGGACTGAGCTGTAAACAGGTGAGAGGTGATGCCTCAGACCTCCACCTCTGTTGAGGGATGGTCTTTCCAGTTAGATGGCTTCTTTCACCCCTCTCTCAAACCGTCTGTCCTCCCTGCCCAAAATCTGTACGTTGTTGTCCCAACTAGTCAGTCAGAAGTGATGAAGCCTCTTGGATGAGAGGTGAAACGTCTTCAGGGAACTCAAGCAAGGCCAGTTGCTACCAATAATCTACGAGAATAGTGATAGATTTACATTCATAGCTGGGGAAGAACGTGGTTTAAGCAAGTTGAGTAAGAAGATATTAACCGCAATCCTTTGTTCCCTGTCTTTTTCTCTTGCCATCTATTCAACCGGATAACTCGTTCCTTGTATGTAGATCTCTTCAAGTGCTGTTGCCCACACAGTTTATCCTTGCATGATGCAAGTAGGATGAAATCCCTGCATGGCCCTTCCCCAGCTATCTAGGGGAATCATTGCTTATTGGCGAACCATCTTAGATCCCTTTGCCACACTCCCAGAGTTTCCTGTGTGATCTGCTGCTATTTACAGTGTAGCTACTGTACTCAGATCAAACTAGATTTCAATCATTTTGAGCGATTCAAGCGATACAGTCTTTGTACTGTTCCTAATGTGTGATGTTTAAAATACAAGAGCCACTTTGTCCAGAACTGCAAGGGCACAGAACTGAAGTATTAAATGTGAATATTGAGCTAAAGCACAAGATTTAGTGTTATCAATTTTCCATTCCCAAAGACCCAACAGGCCAAAGGCACACAGAGTTGGAGTTACCTGCTAAATCCTCTGCCATGCTCTTTCTTCACTGCTAATGGGATTACATACTGTGGAGTGTCCAGCAGTGGCAGCGAACTCACATGCAAGACTCTGTAGTGGTTTGTGCTCGGTGAACACGCACCCGACGATATCCAACGAGGTGAGAGTATGTAAATGATATTTTATGAAGTCCACATTTCTCTGTACGCTTGCAAATGAGTTTATTTTGGACGCCTAATCTTCACTAAGTGTTTGTGTTTCACGTCAGCTGCAAGCAAACCAGCAAATTAGCACAATGATATCTGCTGTGAGAGTCTCCTGTCAGTTGAATCTTTCCACAGTGTTGTTACGCATATAGGACAAGAGCGGGATTAAGTTTTAAAACTCTATTCTCTGGGAAGCTCTTGGCAGAAATCAGAGACTTTTCTTATTTAATGAGGTGATATTTTGGCTAAATCTTCCATCACAGGAAATCCAGTGAGACAAACTCAAACTTTACAAGATTAAGAACGACTCGCAGAAACTCCATTCCCCTCCCTTTTTTCTCCGTCTCACCCTTCAATCACGCAACACCGTTTGTTATCTCACGGCGTTGGTATCATCATCTTCTATGTCTTTTAAGATACCATCCAGGTGTCTGATGATTGTTGGGACTTATTTGTTTAATCTTGCTCTCGTCTTTCCTGTAATTAACCTAACACCTTGGCGCCTTTATCTGATTTAATAAAATACAAATAACTACATGAATTATGAGACCAATAAGAACTTGTTGTAGACGACACTGAGCATGTGTCTTTTTTTTGCACATGTGGGCGCATTTACTGTACCGTACGCTACTATGCAGAGGTTTTAGGACTAAAAGTAAAGTGAGGACGCTTCCAAAAATAGTCCCATGAATAGTTAACGGACTTCATATAAAGAGCAGTAAACTAAAAAAAA